ACCCAAACAGACATGACATACACATCTCCTGGTGAACAGGTAAGTCTTTTGACAATGCCCTTTGCCTTAGCTTTAGATATGCCTGTTGACAGAGAACTTGACCTTTGACCTGCTTTCACGTTTCTGAGCTCTGGCGAGATACCTTTTCACAATGCTTTACTTTTTCAAGGCCCGTGCTGCTTTATTTTTACAAGGCCTGAGGCCTATATCGGGTAAAGGCCCTTTTATTATGCCTCATGGCGCGAACCTTCAGGCGTTGGAAACCTCAGTGTGACTGAGGATACTTTGCCTCATGGGGTGGGACGTTCTCTTCGATTCTGGCCAGCTTTCAGTTTCAGTGTCCTGGTGGATTTGTCGTCAGCCTTCACTCATACTGCGTTGCCAACGACGGTAATCTTCATCATCATCATCATCGTCATTTTTCATAATGTGGGGATAACGGCGGTAATTTTCATCATCAGTATCATCATCATCTTCATCGGCGATTGTAAGGGAAGGCATGTGCGGGCAATGTGACATTGTGAGGTGTTGCGTCATTATCATCATCAGCAGCAGCAGTATCAGGAGCCAGTAGTGGCAGCAGCAGTATCAAGGGTAATCATCAGCTGCCGTCATCACCATCATTATCGTCATCATCACCATCTTCGGTTCATCATCATCATCATCATCATCATCGGCGGTGGTCATCATCATCATTATCACCACCATCATCATCACAATCTTCATCATTATCATCATTATCATCATCGTCATCATCATCATCATCATCATCAGTATGGAGGCTAGCAGCAGCAGCAGCTTTATTGACATCACCATCATTATGAGCATCTTCATGGGTGTGTCATCATCATCATCATCATCATCATCATCATGAGCATCATCATTGGTGTGTCTTTATCATCATCATCAGCAGCAGCAGCATCATCATCATCATTATCCACTTCATCAACATCATTATCATCATTATGATGATGATTACTATCATCATTATTAGTTTGTTATCATTAGAGTTTGCTTTGCAAGGCATCGTTCGCCTTTCGCATCAGCAGGTGAGTGGGTCGTCATCATCATCCTCATTATCATTATCTTCAGGGTGCTGTCCTTCGTCATCAACAAAATCCAAGCGAATGACATTTTGGTGAGGGGGAGGGGGAGAGCCCAGCCCCGCAGGGGTTTCATTAGGCGGGTGGTGAAACCCTGGAGGGGGTATGGGCAGATTGTGAGGAATACTCTTTTCTGGGGCTGGGCACCAAATCCCAGCGGGGGCAGATTAGGGTAAAGGGATAGATAGGGGATTGGAGAGAATGGAGGAAGGAAGGGAGGGGGGGGATTTTTTCTGAATCATCTCATCATCAAAATCATCATCATCATCATCATCATCATCATAATCATCATCCATGTTATATCATGCTTTCTGGTGTGCTGTAATTCTCGGTTGTATCTGGCCTCCTTCCTTAATCGGGATATAGCATTTTAGAGATGGTAGAATCTGGACCGATATCTACAAAGTTGCTTTGTCGTTGCCCCTGGTTTGGCGATGCCAGAACGACGCCGGCCGAAGCTGGGGCGTTGCCCTGTAACCTGCAATTGGCAGGAGTGTGAGACCTTGTAGAGAGATCTGGGGATTTGCCAAGGGAGGAAGGCAATCCAGTGGCGAACCGGGGGGGCTGCCTTGACAACCTATGGGGCCAGGGATAGTCTAGGTGGCGAGAACAGGTCAGCTATGGTAGACATTGGTTAGGAAGGTATTGTCTCTGAGATGTAATGTCCTGGTGCAGGGAAGGCTGGGAGGGTTCGAAGATTAGGAGGCCAGAAGTGTTGTTATAACATAGTCTTCTATATTTTCTATATACTATCCATCATATTCATAATCATCATATTCATCATCATCATCATCATCATCATCATCACATCATTAGTATCATCATCTGATTATTGTTATATTAAGCTTTTTGGTGTTCTGAAATTTTGGCAGCATCTAGCATTCTTCCACATTCGGGATATAGGACTTCAAAGATGGTTGAACCTGGACTGATATCTACTGAGTTGCTCTGTTCTGTGCCCTTGGTTTGCCAATGCCAGAACGACGCTGGCCGGAGCTGGGGCGTTGCCCTGTAACCTGTAAATGGCAGGAGTGTTTGTAGAGAGATCTGGGGCTTGCTGAGGGTGGAAGGCATTCCAGTGGTGAACCAGGGGGGGCTACAAGACGAGAAGAGATCAGCTATGGTTGATGTTGGTTAGGTTGGTTTTGTCTCTGAGGCACAGTGTCCTGGTACAGGGAGGGCTAAGAGTTGTACTAGGATTAGGAGGCCAGAATAGCTGATATAGCATAATCTTCTATATTTTTTCATATATTTGAATCATCATTCTCATTAGCATCATTATCATCATGGTCATCATCATATCCATTTGAGGGACGCTGAGCCCGGTTCTCAGCAGTTTCGGTTCGATCACTCCAGGCAGACTGTGAGGACCCCGGCCTCAATCTTATTATTGGTAATATCAGCCTTGGGCACCAGGACCGGTTTATTTATTAAAAAAAAAAAAAAAAAAAAGGCTGTTGCCCTTTGGGAAAAAAAAAAAGTCAACGGCATAATTCAGCCCTTTGCCACTTCGTGGTATTCCCATGAACTGTTGCGATGCAGACCTGAGATCGAGCATTCCCCCCACAGTTTTTTTTTTTTTTTTTCCTTCCAGAAAAAATATAGGGGTTCCGGACCAGCCCGGATATTTCGGAATATTCCGGTTTTCCGGAAGTCCGGATGGGGCCAGGGAGTCCGGAGTCCAGAGTCCGGATACAGTCCGGAGTCCGGTCCGGCGTAGCTATGCAGAAAATGCTTGTGCAATTACAAGTTCCAAGCCAGAAAAGGGTCCTGAAATGCACCTGTGGATCCTGCGGTAGGGCGATGTCGGGCAGGTCCTGGTAAGATGGTTCCGTAGCCGGGTATACTCACACTAGAACTCTTTTGACTGAATGTGGACAGAATTATGATGACATGCACAGACGTGTCCATGGTACTCCATATGCACAAAGAGTCCAGTCAATTAGGACACTATCCAACGGGCTCTTGGTTTCAACCGTCTCCAATGGCCACTGTGTGTTGGGCATGGCATCCTTTCCGCAAACTCACTACTCAAATTTTCAGGTCTGCATTGTTTTTGCGATGTGAGAGGTCTTTTTTTTCTCCCTAAAGGAAGGACCCCTAACTATACTGTGTTCATCTGATTCCATCAAGATTTGAATCCACATTCTGCTTACCAACAGCTGCATGTCCTGGGTTAATTTGACTATCTTTCTTTCAGAGGAGAGGAGCCCCCAACACTATTATATTGACCTGATGTGATCTGATTACATCAAGGACTCAGACTCATAATCTTTTCATCCACAGTTACATGTGTCTACCATTTATATTGATCTCAGAACTTGACTGCCATCAGGCTAATGTGGGGAAATAAATGTATTCCCAGGGTTTTAGTGCAAAAAGCAATGTCCAAGAAAATGGTGCTAAACTGCTGATGGCAAAGCTGGATCTCGAGAAAATTTGGAAGCCTACAAAGAAAAGACTCCGAGAAAGACAACCAAACGCAAACGGATTCATAGTACCTGCTTTCATTCACAGCAGAAGCCTAGCTGAATCAGGGTAGGGAAGGGATCTAAGGGCCTGGCCACACTGTCGAAAGTAATGAGAGAAGAAGAATTCCGCCCCTGCCCTGAATAGCCCAAAAGCCAATGAAACAACGCCCCACCCCATCGGGTTTCCACACCTGCACATCCACGCACACACACACACAAATAGTTTGACGAAAGAGTCCAGCAAAGTCATGATTTTCTTTTTATGGGAGTTGTGTATCGTGAACATGACAACACACACACACTCAACACACTCACACACCCCTGGCAACAGGTTGCTTATCACTTGTGATCATGATGAATCATGACGTGTCGAGGACAACCAGTGCAACCAGTCCTCTTTGCAGATATCTACTGCCTCCTTGTACTGACTGGCAACATTTAAGACCAAGCTGTCAAGCACAGCTTCCAAGGCATCCCCACAGATAGTGAGTGCAAACCGGATGGCAAGCTGCAAGCTCTTGGCTTCATTTCTTCGGCAAGGATTATCCCGCACAATCAACTGCCTTCCACAACCCCCCTGAATGATCTCAACAACGCCGCTCTCTATTCGTTGTAGCACCATAAACACAATCGTATTTGCAAGTTCGCCATCAAGAAGGCTCTTCACCTCTGAGAACTGTTTGAAAAACATATGCATTATTCGAACGACTTGTTCGTTGTTGACTACATCTTCACGATCTAGCACTGAACTTTCTGAATCCTTCTTTTCGCAGTGGCAGGCAAACATACCGCTTATGTCCCTTCCACCACTCCTACCACTAACGCTACTGTTCAGACTGCTACAGCTGCAGCTGCTCTGTGAGTCAGTGCAGTCATCAAAGCGAGTCTTCATATCCATGGGTTTCAGGCTGGCGGGACGGCAGATGTAGCGCTCCAACATAGCACCAAGCAAGACCTCCCTGTCATCCAGGAAACAGTCATTCAGAAGAAGGCGAGAGCACCCCAGAATAGCACTTATCTGAAGTCCTGTGGTTGGCGCATGAAGAAATGGGATACACAAATGGCGGATTGCAGAAAACTTGAGGCAATGGTGATGCACATACACACTATCCATCAGCACAGCGTGAACGAATTCTCGTATGGCATGATCTTCCAGATACAGTGCGGCCTCCAGCATCGGGAGCAGGCGAATGAAGGCAGTGAATGACTGGAAAACCAGAGATGCAGCAAGCTTAAGTCCATACACACGTTCAGTGAAGCTCCGGGACTGCAAGATGGGGAAAAGAAGCTGGGCCAGCCAGGAGCCATTGCTGGACCAGTGAAATGGTTTGCTCAAGACTACCTCCACTTCCGTCTGTCCCTCCCGTTTATCCTTTTTTTCACCCAGTTTCAGTATCAAATCTCCTTGCCGAATGACCAGACAAAGCTGCTGGGCAACGAAGCACAATCGACAAGCAACCCTGCCCATAGAATGCGGATGGCTGCTGCTCAGCAGCACCCCTTTCCCCCGATCCTCTTCCATGGTGGCCTTCTCCGCTCCCTCAGACACAATGCTAATTAGCGAAGGAAGATGGTAATTCAAAATGCGCTGAGCCATTCTAATGCATGCAGAAATGTCCTCATCAACTGCTGCAGCAAAAGCTCTCACTATGGCTGCCTCTGCCAGTCTCACCCTAAAGGACCAGGCAAGAGACATTGTAGCATTATTCTCATGCTCCTTCACGGCGGATTGCCTCCCTCCTCCTAGACTGGGTTCGAGGCTTCTGAGGATGCTCAGGAACACCGTCACTTCACATTTTGAAAGGAAATCGTGATCATCCAGGAGTGGGAGGACAGTCTCCTGTAGCTTCTGTATTTGCTTGGAGCTCACAAGCTTTCTGATGTAGGCTAGAAATAACAGCCAGAATTCCTTCCTCCTCCCTCTGGATCCATCGTGAGAGGGAAGCTTCTCCTCGAAAGCTTGACATTTCGATTGCAGAGGCATGATGGAGGAAGTTCCCACGAGATGCACTGCAACTGCGATGTGCTTCTACACCAGAAAAAACGTTTGTGGAAACGGTTCGTCAAGAGAATCAATGAGGTTGCTGTCGCTGTCAGACAACAACGCATGCATTTTTGCACAAGCAAGAAGACAAGAGACTAACTGCGTCATAAACCTGCCAGGTTGAAACCTGAAAGCATTGTAGACCAGGCTGGAGATAAATAGATAAAAGCTAAGTTGCTTGCTCAACATCTCAGTTTCTCCTGCTTGAAGAGAATGCAAACAATTTGCGAACCTGCATTGGCATGTCTGAAGCAAGGCCTCAAAACTTCGTCTTCAGAGCTCAAACATCTCTTGATCATCAGGGGATTCCATGGAACTGATGGTGACTTGGCGAGAATCAGAGGTCCATCCTCAGTAGCATCACATAAGTCTGTCTTATCTACCTTGTTGTTGGGATCAAGCGAACCATGAAGTTCCAGTAGGCGATGAAAAATGACATGAATGTGATCGCACGTAGACGAAGACCAAAGAAATGGCGGAGCATTGAGAAACTACCCGCGAGGTTCCTGCCGTTCCTGTTGCTGTCTCTCAAGGCTGGGGAGTACTCTGCTCTCAATGCCTGGCACTCCAGTGGCATGGTACTCGAAGCTTCCATCGGTCTCTCGCTAGCCGCGCCGGCACTTCTTGCTTTTACAAAGTAGTACTCATAGGATTGCTTGAAAATCTAATATGCAATCCATGACTACGGTTGAAACGGTTTTCACCTGTCTGCAGTCACAGATGCGGGCCCTAGAGTTCGATCCCCAGACCTCACTTTGCCCATGTACAGTATCGAGTCGACACCCGAGTGTTTGAACCCGTGATCTGTGTTTTGGCAGTATTTGTCGTCTGTCGTAGGTCTGTGTAGCGGTAGGGGTTTGATCTGTAGGTCTGTCGATTAGGAGTCACAGCTCTGTAGAGGTCTTGGCTGTAGATGCTCTGAAAGTTCAAGGTCGTAGCTGCTACAGTCCTGAAAGGTCAAGGTCGTAGCTGCTACAGTACCCGAAAGGCCGAGTCCACAGCCTTCCGGAAGGTCCGGAAGTGGTCTTTCGAAGTGTCTCATGTTTAGTCAGAGGCAAGTGGGCAAGTGGTGGGCCTTTAGTCAGAGGCAAGTGGGCAAGTGGTGAGCCAACTGCATTACGTCGGAAGTGCGACTGCATCGAGTTGGCAGTGCAAACCCATGCAGTCAGCGGCACCGGTCCCAGTCAGTCAGAGTCCAGTCAAGCAAGTACCGTGTGGGACTGTGTGCACCAAGGGCCTGGGAAAGGGGC